GTCTAAGTTACAGAACATGCTCTGTCCCCAGGGGGTGATGCTGTGTGTCATCACCCCTAGTGCTCGAGTTCAAGAAAAGGATTGACAAAAATGATAAATGCTCCATTTCCCTAGGTTTGCCGTTCATCTTAAGAAGAAATCCAATTACAGTTTGCAATTGCATTTTAAGGAAACATAATGAGCTCTCTTTGGAGTTGCCTTATTCAGATCAAATTACTTCTTGGTAATTTAAAGAACATTACATTTCCCAGATACCTCTTCATACACCCACAGTGTTCAAGGCCCCCTGTAACTATTCCACAAACACTGGGCAGTCAACTTTGGACGAGTTCATAACCAAAAGACCATTTTGTGATTACCCACAGACAAGTCACTCTTCATTTCCCTCATGCAGAGAGGTCAAAGGTCACATACCCTTTAAGGAGCAAGTTACTTCTCAGGAGCTGAAAATGGAGAATTAGGAAGAGCTTTCAACTAAAACACATTATGGCCAAGAGCTCTAGATTCTTGTGTATGAACAGTCAACATTATAAGTCAATGAAATGTCTTGGTCAATTATTCTGATATATACCAACATCAACGACACAGAGCCATCTGATGACAAACAAAAGTGATAAACCCTGAAAACAAGGACCAAAAACCTCAAGGATGACATTCTCTAAAGCATTCCATTCCTTTAAAAAAAAAAAGTGTCTGATCAAAAGTTAATGACACTAAGACAGAAGAAGTTGAACTGAAACTTCATAACGGCATATTGTCCCCTGATTTCTCCAAGAAAGTTCAGCACATAAAATGTCAATAGAACTGAGTATCATTAAAATTTTTTCCACTAATTTTGACAGGCCACAAAGGTCATCTTAGAGTTTTAAAAGTGTAGTGTGACCTGATTTTTCTTCAGTGAGCCAAGACTTTCATAAAGGTATGTTTCCCACCTTCTATCCATGAGAACAATACCCTTTAAGAGCTTTTGTTCTTGACACTTTTAACTTTTTTTGCAGAGACCATTTGCCACTGGACTATATCAACTCTTAGATTTATCTTCTGATGATTTCCCTGCCAGTTTTAAATAAGAATCTAAGGTTTAAATGATCTTTAGACCACTTCCCCTCATCTGCTGGATTCATATCTGTACCATTTCTTACAGATAATAAAAAACAATGCTTGAATATTATCAGTGCTGGGCAATGTCCACTGTTGGACAGTGGACAGTGGTCCTGGGTATAGATGACCCACCTGACTCCAAATTAAATTTGCGTTCTTCTCTGTCTACTGAAAAGTAAACAGTAATTTAGAAGTACAAGCATGTGGAAAGCTGCAATAAGATGACTCCTAGAAACAGAAAACTAGATTGCCTGAGAGTCAAACTGTAAAACAAGAACTACTGGTCAGTACACACATAAGTAGAGACCCTTGATGGAGGCAGGATGGCTTCCAGGCCAAAAAACTTTAAGGTAACCTTTGGAATGCATTATAACTTTGTGATTGTGTCAGCCTTGGGATCAGGGATGGAGAAAGAGGGAAAGTTGGTCAATTATGAAAAGAAACAAAAATAGAAGTTATCAAGGCCAATATTAGTAGTACCCAGCCAAGCACTGTCCAGGGAAAGCAGACCTAACTATTGGATGTAGAGTTTCTAATTCATAGGGTAACATAATTCCCGTATGTAGCTGGACAGAGACAGTAAACTTCAAGTGGATCTTGGTTTCAATTTATTTATGATAAAACAGAGGCCCAAATTTAACACATCTTGATGGCATATGACCTCTATATTCCCTCTTTCCCTCAGACAGGACTACGACTCTGACCCATCCCAACCTCAGGTCTGACTAGTTAATGACATTTGCCCCTTTGGATTTTAGGTCAGAAGTCATTTTCTCCCTGGAAGTCCTTCTACAACCCGCCTAATCTAGATTTGCTCAGCTTTCCCTATGTTTGTATAGCATTGTGCACTTCCTTTAGTGCAGCCCTTCTCATTCAGTGTAACCAGATTCCTCGTGTTTGAGACCAGGGTTTTCTTTTGTCTCCTAGAGCCTCAGAATCCACCCCAGTGTCTGGCACCTGGTAGCTGTTACATTAAAAAAGGAATGATGAGCCTAGTTTGACTACAGGAAGGAAATGTGTCAATCCTTCTGGTTGTGGCTCTACCTCGGATTCCAGAGTTAATTTACTGGTGTGAGACTTCTTAGGTTTGGTCATTCCAGGGCACGGACCAGAGTGTCTCCCCTTGGCCTTTTAAGCAGATCAGATTCGATTGGCCTGTCCCTAAACCTCCTTCTAACTTCCTTCATTGACTCTTACATATACCAGTGCCAGTCCCTACTTGTATCTCTCAGCCTTATAATCGCCATGATCAACAAATTGATTCTTTCCATTTCTATTTGCGAGTTGTACAGAAAGAGCTCCTGGCTCAGTGGGAGGGAGGGAGGGAGTTAGTTAATCTGAGCATCTACATTATGATATCCAATAAACTATTTTCAGGACTTCGAAAGTTTGTGTTGAAGACGTAAACTGCGTTGGCTGTTTATGTAACCTGTTAGAGGGGAAGATGAATGAAAGAATTGAAGAACACCCTCCAAACCACTCGTAGAGGAGAGAGTGACAGATTGTTAAAATGGAATGGTAGAAAGAATGCAAACTGGTAAGGAATATAGAAAAGGAGTTGTAGGAATTAGGAAAGTAGAAGAATATAAGATGGAGGGCAGATAAGTAGAGAAAGCAGAACAGAGCTTCCTCTTTTAGAGATTAACTTCGAAATTCCCAATGAAGTTAGACCATCCTGGACTGACTGTTCAGAACTTAAAGGTTCATACTTTGGGGAAAAACACAGCTAGTTTCTCAAGGGGAAGAGACTCATCAAGGTGGCTGCTAAGCCCCCCTGGGGAGCTCAGACCTGGCCAGCCAATTGCATAGGCTTGTAGTCTTGAAAATGTATTGCAAATGTGGCAGAGAGGCTGACGAGGCTCATCAAGTCCACAAATTGCTATCCACTTTTGATGATTAACTGTGGGATAAATGACAAAGCTGGGAAAAATAACTGAAATGTGTCTCTAAAACTTCTACTGTTCTGGTTAGAAATCTGAAGGCTAAAAAACTGCAGTGGTTTTCTCCCTTTTACTTCTTTTTCTCCCCCTTTCTAGTTATTTTTAGCACTGAAGAAAGACAAGAGGTCAAAGTTGAAGCTACACAAGAACGGGGACAATGTCTTTTACAGTTGTCACTACAACCCCGGCCGGCACAAAGCCTGGGAAATGTCCTTTTTTGATAGAATGAATGCACGAAGTGAACCGGTGGCTATGTAAGTTATGTAAAAGAGGAATAAGTAAGTTTCCTGGTAATTATGGTTAAAGCTTTTAAAATAGAAGGGTGAAATGTGTAGAGTGAAAATTAAAATTTAAGGTATCAAAGAAGACAGTGTACGATGCACTTCATTCATTTTATACATCTGCCTCAGTCATAAGAGAATTGCATTTCAGTATACTAAAAAACTCACAGGTATGATCTCAAAGCTATGCTTATTGATATTCAAGCAATCCTGAACAATAAAAGACGCTTTGAGAGTCTAGAGGTGGGAAAATATTCGGAGATTTAGAAGTGGGGACAGGTGGATGCTGGGAATGGCAAACGCAAGTCTGACTCCAATCCGTAAACAACTCAACATCAGGCATTTAGAAAGATGGTAGTAATTATGAGGAGTCATTGGCAATAACCCCCAAATGATTCTTAAATTAACTTGAAACAATATCAGTATCATTATTAAATAAAATTTGTAAAAGAAAAACTATGAGGGGGAATTAAATGTTGAATAGTTGTTTTAAAACTTAAGCAATAATGATGGAAACCATATGTAATCCTTCAAAATTAGAAAAGTTAATCCATGGAGCACAGTAATTTAATATATGATTTAAAAATGCTTACCACAAAAATGTGGGAGAAGGAAACACCATGGAGTATGTGGGGCTTAAGATAATATTACGAAGGGAACCCAACATAGCTATGTTCCAGGGGAATTAAAGAAACTCAAATGTTTTCATTTAATCAAATAATCTTGAAAAAGCAGTTTAAACATTTATACTATTAAGAAGAGATGGTCACTTTGGAAAGTTTGAAGCAATTAAGTATATTTTTATATAATGAATATTTATAAAGCAACTACTCTAAGCCAGGCACTATTCTAGGTACGAGGATGTCAGAGGTAGACGGGCCAGCCAGGGCCCGGGCCCTCAAAGATCCTGTATTCTAGGAGAAAGAGGCAGGCCCCAAACAGGTAAACTGTTTGCAAAAGAAAACAATCCTACAGACCTGTAATATGATAGAAAATCCATTATAAAATGTTCATAAAATAAAAAAGAAACATGACGGAAAATAAAACATTTGCATCAAAAATGACAGAAAGGAATGATTCCTTCCTGATCTCAAAATGCAAACATATATTTTTAGAAACTCTCCATAGGACTCCAATTGCTGGATGATCAAGTCTCAAACAAACAAAATTTATACAGGAGAAAATACAAATAAGAAACAAATGTCTGGGAAAATGTTCAAACTAACTTGTAATCAAGAAATGCAAATTTAAGCAGTTTTTTTTTAACATCTGCTAAGTTTTAAAAAATGTTTGAAAGAATAAAAAAACAGACGTACAGGAAGGATGACAACATAAACACAGTCTCCATTCCCCTCCAGGAAAATCACTGAAATGACCAGAGCGGAGGGAGGGGGATGGAACAAGGGTGGGGAGACAAATTCGCCAGCAGGGAATCAGAGGATGCTGCCAACCGCAAATGAGCCACAGAGTGGGGGGGTTTCTGCCAGTTTCAATACCAACTATGAAAAGAAATAACAACTTTCCTCAAAGGCAGCTGAAAGAAAGAAGGAAAGGAAATTATAGCAAAGCCTATGATTAGGTCAAGGGCAGATCGAACTCTGGCTTGTGTGCCTCAGTTCCATGGAATGACAAAGGGGAACCGAAAGGTTAGGGTTTGATTCCCGGCCGGGGCACATACCTAGGTTGTGGGTTCAATTTCTGGTCTGGGCATAGAGGTAGGATCCTTAGTCCAGGCCCGTACAGGAGGCAACCAATGGATGTTTCTCTCTCACATTGATGTTTCTCTCTCTCCCTTCCTCTCTCTCTAAAAATCAATAAAAAATGTCCCAATTGAGGATAAAAAAATAAAACATTTAAAAACAAACAAATAAATAAATAAGCAGGTGGAAGATAGCCATTCTTGGAGATAATTTCCCTACAGCTACGACCAGTCTGAAACCCTGTTAACAAGAGAAAAGTATCATACCACTCCCAGCCACTCTCGTAATGGCTCTAGATGGGGGTAATGCTCTTGAGTTGAAGGGGTAAAGTCTACAAGCAAAGGCGCACTGTGGGAGAGAGGAGGATGAATCAAAAGTAACAAGGCAAGGCAGCAACTGGGGGGAATATATTTGTAGCCACATCAAGCACAAAGCCCACAGGCCAGAGGGTTTTTTCTTCCAATTGAATTATTTCCAACAGTGTTCCTTTGCCCTAAGCCTAAGGCTCAATACAGAACTGAAAAGACCTGCCCCCAAGAGTCTGGATCCTCCTCTGCTCAGGGGAGCCACCACTTCTACAGTTTAACAGAGAAAAAGTATGCAAAGTACCCAGATTTACAAGGTCCGTGGCTCGCGAGGCCTTTCTACCTTTGTTGGGTTGACAGAGACTTACCTACTCATAAGATGTTGCCTCATCCAGCCCTTCCCTTATTTTTTTTATATAGAGAAGCCAAATAGCACCCAACTAACCACAGAAGGAAGATGACCTATGCATTATTTAGGGACAGCGGGTCTAGATAGAACTTCCCTCAGTCAAAAATGAGTTAAGGAGAAAACCAGTATGCATCTAAACAACACAAAGTAATTCAGGGAGCAGTACGCAGGTTCTAGAATCAGAATCCGCCTCTCCCGCTCACTAGCCACACAACCTTGGACAAGGTACTTACCCTTTCTATGCCCCTCTTATAAAATGAGGGTCCCGATCATGAAGAAAATGAAGATCATGAAGATTAAATGAGTATTTTTTTAAATCACCAGAATTTTTGATGCCTGGTAAATGTTACCTATCATCATCATTATCATCATATTTTTAAATGCCTTTGCAAAAAATTTGCAAAATAAAAGAGAAATAAATGTTGAAGGCATTATCAATGCTTTTTGCCAAGCATTTCTGGCTATTTCCCTAAGCACATTTATGTCCCATCTCCTTTAGAGTTAGGCAAGATGGTGTGAATTGTTTCGATCATTGGAATGTGAATGGCAGCTACGTGTATCACTTCCGGGAGGCATCTTCTAAGAGTTAGTATGTGAATTTGCCAAGCTCTTTCCCCTCTATCATAGGGATCTTCCTGATGGTGGCTTTTCCATCAGTTTGGACCCTGCAGTGAGGATAACTTGAAGCGCATCCCAACCACCTGTGACACGGGCATGCATGAAAAACAAAACTTGTGGCACTAAGTCACTGAGACATTCAGGCTTTTTTGTTCCTGGGGCACAACCTAGCCTATACTGCCTTATACAGAAGTAAAAAGTAAATGAGAGAATATTTGTGAAAACTCACCTCCAGAAAAGAATAGAAAGAAAGTAGACAATATTATTTTATACACCCGGAGAGAGTCAAGGTAAAAGAGGTCTATGAAACAACAGTTAAAACATGAGATGACAAGGTATCCGTTATAGATAGAGTGTTTGCATCCCTACCCTCCAATTCATACATGAAAATCCTAACCTCCAATGTGATGGTATTTGGAGGTGCAGTGTTTGGGAGGTGATTAGGTCATAAGGGTACAGTCTTCATGAAGGGGATCAGTGCTCTTATAAAAGAGTCCCTAGAGAGCTCCCTCACCCCTTTCCGACAGGGCAGGGCACAGGAAGAAGATGCTGTCAATGAACTAGGAAGAGGAGCTTCACCAGCCACCAATCTACCAGCACCTTAATGTTGGTGCTCCCAGTCTCCAGAACAGTGAGGAATAAATGCATGTTGTCAAAGTCACCTTGTCTATGGCATTTTGATTAAAGCAGTCAGAAAGAGCTAGGACAGGATCCTGATGTGATTATCAGTGAGGCAGGAAAGTCAAAGAAAACCAGAAAGTAGGTGCAGCAAGAGCTGGGTCAGAAATGACACTGGCCGGTGAGCCGCTGGTGTTGAGGCTGGGACCCTACTCAGAGCTCAGAACGTGATTGCGGGTCTGCCCGAAGGTCACTACAAAAATGTTCCTGGTGGTATTGTTGGGGAATGGAGAAAAGAATGTGCTAGGAAATCACCTAATATCAAGGATAAAGCATTTGTTCAATAAGCCTATGCAAACCTTTATGCTTATAAATTGATAAAAGCGCTCTACAATGGATTTTTCAGCAGTAACGGAAATGCTGCTATACAATGCAACAGTTCCTGGTCATTCGTAGCTGGTATGACAGGAAGCTGAATTTCTAACATTATGTACTTGGATTCAATTTTAGTTAATTTGAAAATAGCCATACTGGCTAGTGGCTGCTGGAAAAGGCAGCTCACATTTAAAACAAACTTCAGTGTGTTAAACCATTTAACACTAACCTCCTTGTGTTGTGTGCACAGACGCGTGTGTTTGCACAGAGATAGGTGATGACTTCACGTCCAGACGTCATCGTGGGTGCTGGATAAAGGCAATACGAATTTCTTCTTCACACTTTTCTGTATTGTCTGAAAAGAGATTATAATATATTTGTAAGGTAAAAACTATTTTCATTTATAATATTTTCAAAGGTACAATTATTTTCACTTTAGAAATAAAATTGCCGGAAACTGCTGATGGTGTTGTAATTTAATATGATTATTTTGGAAAAAATTAAATATGTCTCCCCCTCAAAAATGTAACCCAAAATAACTCTATGAGAAGAGAAAATGATTTCTTCAAAAATCCTGTCCCTGGAGAATAATTATTCCAAATTATTTTGCGACAAGTTAATTGTGACTCTCTTGAAATGTGTCTGTAGATTATAACAAAGTGTAAAGGGAAAAATATTAAACACTGATTTAGGACAGTAGAACATACTCTGCGTTATTTTCCTTCAACATTTTAATATTAGTCTCTTAAATGAAGAAATCTTTGTAGAACTAGTTCATCCAAAGGATAAGCAGCACTAACTGCTGAAAAATAACCTCCTGCTCCTCAGTGACTTCCCGCAACTGAGATTTATCAGCCATTCACATCCACAGTCTGATGCAGGCAGAGCAGCTGCCCTCCGTGGCCGCCTGCTCTCATCTGTACTATGAAGACGAGGAGAGAGCGCAAAGGACCATACAGGGAGTTTGATGGCCAGCTCTCCATTCTACAGACAAGAATCCAGTGGCGTAGCCCACCTCCAACTGCAAAGGACATTGGTAAATGTAATCTTCCTTTATGTTGGAAGAAGAATGGGATCAGGAAGTATCTAGCCAGGATCTGGTGAACTTGTCAAGTCAAACCAAATTCATTCGCGTTTTTTTGTAAGTTTATTGAATAGGTCAATTATCTTGATGGATGCTGCTATTGGACTGCCAAAGACTACACTTTAAAGCTTTTTTTTTTTTTTAGTGTAGAAAATAGCAAGTGGATTAGGCTGCTATAACAAAATACCATAGACTGGGTGGCTTACACAATAAACATTTTATTTCTTGCAATAATCCAAAATCAAGGTACCAGCGGGTCTGGTGTCTGACAACCCACTTCCTGGTTCACAGACAGCTGTTCTGTTGCTACTGCTATAACTTCACAAAGTAAAGAGAGGAGGGAGCTCTCTGGGGTCTCTGAGGACATGAATCCCATTCTTGAGGACTCTGCCCTCATAACCTAGCAACTCCCGAACGACCCCACTTCCTAATACCATCACGTGGGGGTTAGGATTTAACATATAAACTACAGGGAGACACAAACATTTGGTCTATAGAAATAATACTTACCCATCCTTCTATCATTTTTAGCATCTTGTCATATAACATTTTGTTACAATATCGTCCTGCATTGTACATGTCACTGTGCATGTTGCATTTGTCAACAGTATGTTTAAGGACAGTCAGTGTTTATACTTAGCATTCTAATTCACTTCTTTAAGTGCAGTGATGTGATTCTTTGTATATGTCACATGCTATTTATCTATTTATCAATTACTGGGTATCACAGTGATTCCATTTTTCTCTATAATAATTCTGCAAGGGACATCCTTCAACATGTCCCTTTCAGTGTATGTAGGAGGATAGATGCCTAGAAGGAAAACTGTGAAGTCAAGCACCCTCACTTTTGTTCTTCAATAATTTTAATATATATAACTTGTATACATGTATGAAGATATAAAACACACTTATATCAAATTTGCAGGTGACACAAATTCAGAAGGGAGAGATGACATGATAGATGACAATCATCACTATTCAAGAATTATATAATTTGGAATACTGGGTCGTAACCACCAAGTTGGAATTTAAGAAAGATAAAGATAAAATCTTGTATTTAGTTGAAAGAATTAAATGCCCATTACAGAAAGGCAGAGATATAAGTAGACAGTAGCTTCTTTGAAAGATGTCTAGGGATGTTAGTTAACCCCTACTTTGCTGTGAGCCAACAATGCGACACTGTTTCAACTTCAGAAACGTATTCTGGTACAGTCCTGGCTGGTGTAGCTCAATTGGTTGGATGGTTGTCCCATGCAACCACAAAGTTGCAGGTTCGATTCCTGGCCAGGCCCATGCCTGGGTTGTGGGTTCAATCACTGGTCGGGAAGCCTGTAAAAGGCAAGCAGTTGCTATTTTCTCACATTGGTGTTTCTCTTTCTCTCTGTCTCCATCTCCCCATCCCCCTTCCCCTTCCTCTTTCTCTAAAAAAAGCAATGAAAAAAATTCCTCAGATGAAGATAAAAAATAATGTATACTGATACAGCTGTATTAATAGAAAAATAAGTTTTACAGAAGCTCAATTCCATACTTAATTCCATGCTACCAAGTCAGAACTCCATGGAATTCAAATGAAACTGCTTCATATTAACATAAGTGAGAGAGAGAGAGCGCAGTCACATCACACACTACACTGCAGAGAGGACAGGACGGAGTAAGGCTGAACTAACACCAGGACCTCAAATGCTACTTTGCCTCCCTTTTGCCGTCTCTCATCAGTGCCTCTCTCCGCCTGCTGGGTTCATTCACTAAGCCATCAACTGCATGCAGCTGGCCATGGTGATAGTGAATCTAGATTATTCTCATCTGCCATTTCAATTCAAGAACTCCCAGGGGAGTCTCTACTTGACCCAATCCCATGAACTGCTATTTGTGTCCCACACAAAATTCATATGTTGAAATCCTAGCCCTCCTGAATGGCACAAGTTCCCTTTTGAAAGTGTCCCAGAGAGCTCCCTCACCCTGTTTTCTGCCACGTGAGCATATAAGAAGCCGGCCATCTGCAAACTGACACAGAGCTCTCACCAAAACCCAGCCATGCTGGCACCCTGATCTGGGACTTTCAGCCTCTAGAATCGTGAGAAACAAAGTTCTGTTGCTTATAAGCCACCAGATATATGGTAATTTGTCAGAACAGACCACACTTACTAAGAGACACCCAACATGGGTCTTAGGCCCACACCTTGAACAAACCAGAATGGCCACCTGAATCAATGGTTAGAGCAGGAGAGGAATAACTACTTCATAACCTTAGGAAGGTTGTTGTTGAACAGGAAGCCAGCCTGTGTCTTCTATAGATATTCTCCTTCACCCTGAAGTCATTGGGCATATAGTTATTTGCAAGTATATTTAATCATTTTTCTTTCTTTCCTTGGAACTCCCAATGGATTCAGCTGGTAGGTTGTATGGTCAACATTATGTAGAGAGTGAGTCCCAGATATAGAAGAGAAAAGTAAACCAAAATATGTGATATTTTATTCACTATATGATTTTTCCCCCATTTGCTGTTATATTTTTTAAGATTTATAAATATAGAATAGTTACTTATTTATCGTGGCTGATATCAAGAAAAGTACTCCCATCAGTTGAATAAAGCCCTTGTAAATTATTGCAGCAAAAATAATCAGAATACCTGCTTGAACTGGTGTCTGGATCATTACCAAACTTGATATTTATTGAGCTCCAACTGTGTGCAAGCCCATAGGTGTGGGTCTATATGGAGGATTTATCACCTCACAGGGCAAACCAAACCATGCAAATCACCACCACGGAAGATGGATCACATGCAGGGGAAAGACTTTATGTCCTGATTACCATTACACCTTAAGAGGAGGACTCATAATCCAGACAAGAAAAAGGTGTTTAGAGGAAGTGAGATTTTTTAATAGAACAAAAAGGAATAAAAGCAATTGGTGAAAGAGAGAAAAATAAACCTAGGATGCAGGCTCATGTTTAAGAATATTTCACTGGAATCTCTATATCATTGGGTCTAAAACCCACAAGCAGAATCACCTGGAAAACCTAAATCATTATCATTATCCCCCTCCTCTTCCTCCTGGGTCCCAACTCTCGAAATTCTCCTTCAGCCCATCTCAGCAGAGTTTCATGATCTATATGTTTTATAATAATTGATATATGTGGCAGAAAATTCTGTTTTATGTATAATATTAACTCTCTAAATCCTCTTTATTATTATATGAATTAGGCACCACTATTATCATTATCATCTTTTATGAGGAGGGCAGAGAGGCTAAGTGACGTGACTAATGCTATGTACTGTTAGGGTTTAAATCCAGGCAATCAGTGTTCAGAGTCTGCCTTTAATCACTTTGCTCTACTGATTACCAAAAACAGAAATGAGAGAGAGAGAGAGAGAGCATGAGCAAGCTAGCTCCCTGGATAACTGTGATGAATTCAGCTGTTGGCCCTGCATTTGGAGAGCATGCCACTGTAAAACACAAGAAAATGATCATTTACTGAATTCCACTCTGTATTTTTCAGTGCCTGACCCATAGTAAATACAAAATGTTGTTGAATATATTCCAGGTAGGAGTCCACAGCAGCCAGGATTTGCAAGGGAGATTCTGCTGAGTCCGCTACAGCAAAAGAAAGTGGGCCAGTGACTCACACCATGCTTCCTGTCCCCATTAAAGGAATGTGCCAAGAATCAGAGAGTAAGAGATGCATCATTCTAATCCTGTGTTTAATGCTCTGGTCAACCCCTTAATCTTTACCTATTTATGCTATATACAATCTTAATTTTCTGGATAAGTAACTCTTGACTTTCCTCTTTCAGCACTTCCTCTAAGTCCACCCTTTTTAGAGATACCACAGATTATTAAGGGGGTGCAAAACTCCAAGCAGCTGATGTCCCTGCTTGTTTAGAAAGCCAATAAAGTGTTTGCACATAATAGATATTTTTTGGATGCATGGGTGGATGGATGAATGGATGGGCAGATGGACAAAGAGATGATAGATGTCTAATACTTAACCATTACTCATTGTCTCTATGGATTTGGCAGGACTGGCTCTTCCTCTGATGACATGCAACTTGGTGTTATGATTGAGTGCACAGTCTTTGGACTCAGGCACCTTAGGTTCATTCCTGCCTGCTATACAACCCTGGGCAAATGACTTACCTTCTAACAACCTCAGTCTGCTCTTTTCTGAAGTGGAGATAGTATCACTTAAATTGGTAATACTGATACTTCCAAAAGGTGTTGTAAGATAATGTATGTGCTAAGCACAATGTTTCACACATAAAAAATGCTCAA